CATTTAAAAGAAATTTTTAAAAAATTCATATCATCTTGGTGTTGATTGGAATTCTTTTTTTTTTTTTTTTTTTGAGTAACAGGATTGAACACTCTACCACTGAGCCACATATGCAGCCCTATTTTGTATTTCATTTAGAGACAGGGTCTCACTGAATTGCTTAGCCCCTCACTTTTGCTGAAACTGGCTTTGAACTTGTGATCCTCCTACCTCAGCCTCCAGAGCCACTGGGATTGCAGGCATGCACCACCTTTCCTAGCTTTGGTATCAATTGGAGATAAAAATGATGAAAATGCCCAGTGGCTCTGGAGGCTAAGGTAGAAGGATCACAAATTCAAAGCCAATTTCAGCAAAAATGAGGAACTAAGCAACTCAGTGAGACCCTGTCTCTAAATAAAATACAAATTAGGGTTGGGGATGTCAAGTGCCCCTGAGTTCAGTCCCCAGTACACACCCCCCAACGACAATGGTCAAAATGGGGTAGGTGTTTAGCTCAGGTGGGGAGCGCAAATATACCATGCCCATGGCTCCAGGTTCCATCTCCAGGAATGGGGAGTGGGGGTGGGGGATGGGTGAAGCTCTCCCTGAAATATGGGCATTTGTTTAGAATCTTTCAAAAGCTAATCAACTGTGCAGAACAGGCTGTGAGCAGGCCATGTCCTGCTCTGAGTCATTTCATAATGTATAGAAATGCAGATTTCAGGCTGTGCCTGGTTCCTGAGCTACTCCATTTTGAGAACAAGTGCTAAGGCAGAATGACTTGGTAACTTGTCTGGGAAACTAAATAACCACCAGATGGGACTTGGAAAAGAATAATGCTCACATTTCTGCTCTGCCTGCCCCTAGATACAGAGCCCTCCATTACTATGCCCTCCCTCTTCCCCTCCATAGGGTGCAGGGACCACCATGGCATATAGATAGCAGTGCCTGTAGCAGGTGGGCTTTTGCAGTAACTTAAGCCACAGAGCTTTTCATGGCATCCAGCAGCAGCCCCCCTGTAACCCACAAAGTCATCTTGGAATTAAGTATATTCACTGAGGAGGCAAAATCCTCCATGTGACCAAGGTGAACTTCCTCAACAGTGAGGTGTTGGCAGGACACTTGATGTTGCCCTTCAAGGTTTGGGGGCTGAAGAAAGCCAGGGTCTTACTCTGGAAAGCAGTATGGAGAGTCCTCACAAAACTTGGAACAGAACTACCATGTGACCCAGTTACCCCACTCCTTGGTGTATATCCAAAGGACTTAAAATTAGCATACTGTAGCTGCATCAATGTTTATAGCAGTTCAATTCACAATAGCTAAGCTATGAAACCAACCTAGGTGCCCTTCAACAGATGAATGGATAAAGAAAATGTGGTGCATATACACAATGGAATATTAGTCATAAAGAAGAATGAAATTATGGTATTTGTCAGTAAATGGATGGAACTAGAAAATACCATGCTAAGTGTAATAAGCCAATCCCCCAAACCCGAAGGCCGAATGTTTTCTCTGATATGTGGATGTTAACACACATTAAGGAGGCGTGGGTAGGGAAGAATAGAAGTAATTTGGATTAGACAAAAGGAAATGAAGGGAAGGGAAGGGGAATGGGAATAGGAAAGATAGTAAAATGAATTGGACATTGCTGTACTATGTGCACATATGATTGCATGACTAATGTAATTCTCCATCATGTACAACCAGAAGAATGAGAAGTTATACTCCATTTATGTATAACATATCAAAATATATAGTTATTATATAACTAATAAGAACACATAAAAATATTTTTTAAAAAGGAAGGGCTGAGGTTGTGACTCAGCAGTAGAGCATTTTCCTAGCACATGTGAGGCCCTGGGTTCGATCCTTAGCACCACATAAAAATAAACAAATAAAATAAAAGTATTGTGT